GAAGCTAGACTGGAGACAGTTTAGTCTCGGCAGACGTTGCCAACTTTGATTTGTCAGTGGTTAAAACAAAGGGCTTTTATTTGGATTTGGAGCCATGACAAGCTGTAAGCCTCTCTATCTACATCTTCATACAAGAACAGAACCTTATTTATGTAACGAGACTCAGAATGTATAGGAAATGACTTCATAATTCCTCCTTAAAGGTATACTATGAACGTAAAAATTCAACCCCCTATTCACTCTCGAGCTCCTTAGGTGAAAAATGGTTAGGAGTAGGGAGGAGACATTTGAGAGACTAAGGAGTTTCCCAAGCAGAGGAGAAAATGGTGGAAACAAAAAGAGGTCGGAGAAGTATTCTCCAAACACTGGATGACAGTGAGTGAATGAAATGCCACACATTAGATTGTGCGGGGGTAATGTTTGCGGTCGATCTCATTTGGGATACGCTAGTCTTGCCACCAGACAATCAGAGATCTCTGCCTTCTGATAGTCTGGGGACACTCCTTTCTAAAGTGTGTTTAATACACCTGCGAAAACGGCCGGCAACAAAGCAACGCCTCTTGCATTTTTGAAAAGGACACACCTTCTCGGAAATGTGCGCTCCCCCTTTTCTCGTCCGCAAGGAAACAAACACACAGAGAGCTTGAAAATGGATGCCGAGAGATTTAACTCCGTTTTATCAAACGTGTGCTCATCCGTGAAGAAAATATTTTTTCCAGCGGATGTCTTAGTTACAACATGATTGAGCTAACTGGAGTAGTTTCATGTTGTATCGGGAGGCTTTTAACAGATGACGTCCTGATGTTAGCTTTGCTGCTGCTGTTAGCTGCCCCTGTCAGCTGCAGCCACCGATGCTTTCTAGACATCGTGATTTCCCAAAACTGAATAAATACCACACATAGCAACACAAAACTGCTTTGCTAGCTCAATCATGTTGTAACTAAGATATCCGCTGGAAAAAAATTTTTTTTCATGGACCGTTTAATGAGTTATTACCTATTACAGACACTGCTAACGGCTAAGAAATAGTAATGTTTGTTCAAACATTGTGTTTATAGACTTTACAAACATTGGATGATACAGTGATGTGAAAAATGTGATAAACCAGCAGAGCTTTTAGCTATATATATAGCTAAGTTATATATAGAGAGCTAAAAGCTCTGCTGGTTTTCTACCCGGAAGTAGGCTATTTGTAAACAACAAGGCGAATCCCTCTATAGTCCTGCCGGACGGATGAGTCATGGCCTTGTAAAAGATCATGTTTGTTTCTTTTAGTTGGCGAGAATGTGTCGCCGCAAACGCGACAAACATCCACTAACTTTGACAGCGTTTTCTGCAAACGCGGCTGAGCCATTTTGTACCGCTATACGAGTTTCTAGTGGGACTATGTTTACAAGCACAAGAGTTCTGCGAGCCACCGAAGGACCGCCCTACAGATTTACTATTGGTTCTGCAACGTAGGGAGTTTTTTTTAAACTCTGAAATTGTATCCGCCCATCTAAACACAAAATCAGGGAGAAAGTCATCAGTCTTTAGTTAAGCAAAGCATCTGAAGACTGACTTGTGAGTCTAGGGATACGCACACACTTCCCACCTAACACTATAATGCCAGAAACAAAATGATCACTAAGATATTTGAAAAACTGGAAAAATGCAACAGTGCAGCAGTGATGACTTAAGTCTGTCTCAACCTTCCATCAGCAGAGTGATCACACCAACAATGACAACACTTTCAGTCTCATATTGTGACGCTGTTTATATCATTTCCACTGGGTGTCCACACCTTGCAGACTCACAAAAGGGCCTGTCTGTGACAACCAATCACACCTGTTAGAAGTATGTGTCATACCTAGCAACAGGGGGTCAGCGACACCTCCTCACTAAGGTAAAAGTTTCTGTCCCTTCCTTGCTCAGAGCTGCTCTGAGAACTTTCCTAAATCACTCCTAAGCTAAGCTACTAAATTTTTTTAGTCCAAGTTAGGAGCTCTCTGAGAGTTCTCAGAATGGTTGCGAATTTGGCCCCTGGTCACTACCTTGTTATCAAGTTCACCTCACCTGCATGCTGTTCCCAGGAACATCCCCAACACAGCAAAGTCTCTGGAAATAAATACACCACCACACTCTGTTAGTGGGTCATAAGTGACGATTGAGAGAGATTCCTTCTGCCTTAGTCTAAAATCCCATATAGTATTAACCTTTAACACCGGCAATGCTGCAATGATGACATTTCAGGTCTTGGAAAGATACTCACCATAGATTTTAAATAGTGAGGTTCAACTGCACAATTGACACAAATTCATCAATGGCACTGTGTATGAGTGTTAAATTATTCCAATATACTTTCTGTCTTCCAGAGCAACTGTGGCTGAAGGAGGCTTGTCAGCTCGCATGAAGTATCACGTCTACAGCGTCCTGGCTAACATCGGTGCTGCCATCCCCTGTATTTCTAATTGGTCCTCTGGCCTTCCTCGAGTCACTGGTCAGTCTGACAACACAGTGTTTCATTCATGGATTGTGTACAAACTCCACTACTTCAAATCACTTGTTTTTCAGAGTTACAGTGACCAAGTGTCTTTTCAGTATCAAATGTATTTACATTAAATTAATACATTAAATAAAAAGTCTCTGAGCTCTTTGGAAATTGATGTGTCTCTTAAAATCCTGAAATATTTTAAAAGAGAACAAACCTTGTATGGATTTGACTAACATTATCTTTTATTATTTCATCTATTTGTCATGTCTCACATACACACAGTGTCTCACCATGACCCAGAGCTGACGTTTAACCACAGCTTCATTGAGCCTCCTTCCTCTGGCTGGGTGACCGAGGGCTCGTCCTTTGACAGCGATGAGGAGGAGGGAGAGGCGCTCTACTGTGTCCCTCCAAGAGAAGGTAGGAACACCAGACTTTACACTGCCCTCTTTTGGTGGTGAGCAAAACTACCACTGAAAACTTCCCCTCCACATCTTCTTATATCATTTGACTTTTCTGTCTCTTTGGCAGACATCCCAGCGGTGGCAGGCGGTGAGTTCCAGGAAATGAGCTCCAAGTGTAACATGTTCTTAGACCCGTCCGGCTTCAGCAGTGAGGACATCACCTCGCCCTTCAACATCCCTCGCACCTCCAGCATTGCCAAGTCCAAGCGCCCATCTGTGTCTTTTGCTGAGGGCACCCGCTTCAGCCCCAAGGAGAGGCGTGGCTCAGCTCAGGACCCTGGCGCTCTCCCAGGACACCCACGCAACAAACCAAAGTCACCCTGGGGGGTTTTGATGCTGTCCTCCCTCCAAAGTCAGGGAGGTGCAGCTAGAACTGGGGAGGAAGATGGAGCTGAGGGCAAGGAGGGGGAAGATGAAGAGGATACGCAGGAGACAGACAATCATGAAACAAGCTGTGAGGCAGGGGACCAGGAAGTAGACAGAACCCCCTCCCGGGCCACCCTGCAGGTCCCTGGGGCATCAGGACGAAGGCGGACTATGTCCAACACAGCTGCTCATAAAGGGACCCAGCTGTCAACATCTGCCTCTGATGCTCAGGCGGGGGGCTTAAATAAGGTCACCACCGTGTACGTGACGGTGGGTAAGGCAGGTAGGCCTGTGTCAAAAACAGAGACGAGCTCTGAAGGCCCTGTTCAGGCCATGCTGCGGCGACTCGGCAGCCTCCAGAGAAAAACAGAGCAGGATTCTGGCAGGTCCAAGCCTAAATCAGCTGAGGGAATTACCAAACCACCCAGGAGGAAGCTCGGAGCTCGGGCGACTGTGTGGGAGCAGGGAGGGCCGACTGGAGGGGAGGTCGGCATTTGTAAGCCAATCAGGAGAAAGCATTCTTCTCTCAACGCCCCTGACACGACTGGTGCTAATGACACTCCATCACAAGAGAGCGGCACGCCAAAAAGGCCTCTGTCGTCCATTTTGAAGAGCGTGCCAGAGGTGAATTCAGCTGACTCTGGGTCAGATCTGCGGGCGGACGGTGGCAACTCCAGTGCAGGAAAAACTGAGGGCACCTACTTGACTGTGGGACCAGCAGGAGATGCTGTGAGTCTCACCGAGGTCATCACCAATGAAGGTGCAGTGGTCAGTGCGAGTGATGAACCCTGCTATGAGAACGTCATGATTAAATCCTCTTAACCTCTGAGAGACAACACGTCAGCAGGTCTGATCCAAACACAAGTGCGTGTTTCTTACTCTGCAGATACGATGTTACAGGCACAAAGGGAAAACTCTTGAATTATGGTGTTATTTGTTAAAGTTATGCACCACTGCTTCTTGCATATTAACATTTAAAAGCATTTGTTATTAAAAAAAATACTTTAATGTTTAGCCTAAATTCTATAGAATATAGATGTAACACATAAATTTATATTTTAGGCTGAAAGATAACCTTCAGTGATGCATGTTGTATTAATTGTATACATACAAGTACTGTAATATCTGAGCCTGTGTGTGCGTCGACTCGAGATAAACACACACACACACAGAATAAAGAGAATGGAAATTTTTGACATCTGGGTTGTACCAGGAAGAGGAGAGTAAATTTTTGCAAAAAATATCATCATAGTCGTAAAGCATCATAAACTCTGTTTTTCATTGATGTTTTTATTTGTCATAGAGGAAAATACAAGCAAGAAAAGATGGTGACAGGTTGTGAATATGCAATCAAATGTGACTCACTCAGAATCAGCACATTGTTCAAACATCTGTCCAAAGCTGCTAAAATTCATCAAGGTTGCCAAGATTACTCATGGGAAAATCTGATGCTGCTGTTGGGTAGAAACTCCATTGTTGCAATTTAGGGATTTCTCTTTGCATTACTCACAGGAAAATCTGTATGACCATGTACCAAACTGTAACGACCGCTTGGTGGATGAAAAGTCTTATCAACCCTGTGTTATATTTTGTTATTCCCTATATATA